AATAAAGCTGTCTTGGTCGTTGAAGCTATAAATAACAGCTCTACTTTGGCATAAGGCTGTCAAGGGTGGTGAAGCAATAGCTCGGCTTTGGAATAAAGCTGTGCAGGAAGTTGAAGCTGCAGCTGGACGTGGAAATAAGGCTGTCCAGGGCGTTGAAGCTATTAATAATAGCTCCAGTAAGGAACAAGGCTATCAAGGGAGTGGAAGCTTTCGCCCCACTTAAGATTAAGGTTCATCCGGATGTTTACCAAGGTCTCAAAAGTGAGAGATTGTGAAACGATACAATTTTTATCTTTGCATATATGTGTGAAAAACATTTCCTTCTTCTGATTTGTCCACAAAATATCCCTCAAACATGAACGGTAAGACACAATAAATTCGGTTGTTTTTTTTTGTCCAGGTGTGCCTTTTCTTTTGCATTCAAATAACTGACTAAACGTGTTGAAACAGTTACACTTGTAATGATGTTGACACACATAATTTTATTATCACAGTGGCATTGACGGATATCATTATATGTTTGTTGAACTGATTTGATCAAATTTAGCGCCAAAAGATTTCTGCAAGAATTTTTTTATATCGGTATGGTACACGCACAAGGGTAAAATTACTTAATTGTCTATATAGAAATAAAACCGACAAAACCCTCTCCATAATGATAAGAAATCTCTGCAGAAAAGAATAATCCGAAATATCGTAAGCATGTGTTTAAGCATGTGAATCATTATCAAATATCAAATGCTTACATATAACACTGTCAAGATGACGTCAATAATGACAGATGATGCCAAACCTAGTATGATGACGCCATTACACGTGACGCCACTGTCTGCGAACCGTGAACAATTATGTTAGTATTTCGACATCATTGTAGTACACGTCAAAAAGTGTTGCTAATGTTTTTATTGAGTCGCTTATGTTGATCATATGAATAATAATTAGTGACAACAAACTCACGAAAAATGCACAGAGTAAAATTACTATATTGTCTATATTGAAATAAAACCGACAAAACCATCTCCATAATGATAAGAAATATCTGCTGAAAGTAGAGTTGACTGTACGGTTCCAACCTTCCGTAAGCAGGTGTTTATGAATTAATGTCAAATATAGTGCTAACATAAAACGAGAAAACAGATGATGCCAAAACTATGATGACCCCATTACACATGATGCCACTGTCTGCGAACCGTGAAAAATTATGTTTGTATTTCGTCATCATTTGAGTACACGTCAAAAAATATTGCTGATGTTTTTATAAAGTCGCTTATGTTTGTCATGTGGGAAAAAATTAGTGATAACAAACTCATTCCTAAATACGATTTGAATTGATAACACCACGAGTGAGTTGTTCGCAAAACACATTGGTTAGGCAAAAGAATAACCAATTGTGACCATATGTTCCCCTGTATCTTCTGGTGAACAATTTATTAGCCTTTGCATGTGTTTGTGCCAGGTGTCACCGGTGGGGAAGGATACGCTTACCTTTTCACCTGGTTTAATCACTATTTAATGGTGATTCATAAACACATGCCCATGAAACAGTCGGAATCATACAATGGACTCAATGGATTTTTTATGATTTTAGAAAGGGTTTATCGCTTTTATTTCTATCGGGCGAAGCGAGACACACACCAACTTATGCAGTCCTCAGGTCAATTGCTAGGTACGCAAGCTTTAATTCAACTCTTTTAGTCATATGATGAGGAGAACAAATAATTAAAACGAAGGACTACTAATGCGGAGATCGGAGATGTAACACTTTAAACAACATTTGATATGTAAACATAAATACCATTACGATATGTAATCATAAAAATCCCAGTATGTCCCAGTATGGCTCATTGTGGGACATTGTTAATAATATGTCGCTATCTGGCAAGTAAATGTGAATGTTCAAATAAAACATAAAGCATACTGTAAGACTGTCGACCATTGGAAACATATCGGGATGGCCATAGTTCGACACAAGCGATGCTCTGATATCAGACCATATTTCGAGTCTATGCAAAGAACGAGTTTTCATGTTTCGACTTATCGATAGCTAGGTTCGTTTACAGTTGTGTGTGAAACCTAACGTGTTCAGCTGACTGTGCACGTCCCTCGGTATTACATTTGCATGTCTCATTGCAAATATTTACATTATGTATTGAGGCATGCCTACGATTGTGTGAGTATGTGCGTCCATCGTCACAGGAAGACTGTGTGTTTATACATGTGACTAAGTACACACCCACATACGTATGTATAATACGCATGTATGCGTGTCTATAGGCCAGCAGCCCATACACTACATGTCATGACAATGCCTCGTCCACATGTGACATGTCATCGTGACCTCATCCTCCGCGTGGGCGTATCGGGGAAATGGACAGTGATAGGGTAATTGATGCCACGCACTTCTACCTGTGCTACAATACATATCAATCATACAGGTAATCTTCCTCACATAACACCTGACGAACCTGTTCTTAAAAACACTGTGTTGAATGGGCAATTGACTTGCAGTTCAAGTAACAGAAATCATTAGCCCTTAGGCTACACAGTTCGCCTTGAAATCTGTTCATTATTTAGGCCATAAATGTGTTTTAAATAACTCACATCACAGAACTCGTCGTCTTAGGGGTGCAAATTCAATGCAGATTTATTTAAATTTTTATACATATAAGCGGCACGACAAATGTAAAAAAAAACAGCTTTACCCTACTACATGTTGAACAATCTTACAGTATGCAATTTAGAGGCTTGGTTTATTGGACAAAACAAAATGAAACATCATCCGTTTAAAGTTGTTTTTTGTGTGACAGATACGAATATGTATACCCCGGGGCTTTGACGTTTATTGCCGAATCTGGCTGGAGTAATTGCTGTGTCATACAGATTAGTTCCACTGATATCTAGGTGGCGAGCTCTGCACTGGTTTTGTAGTTTTTAATAATCCTATTAATTGTACTTCCTTCTTTGTTGATCTGTTTCTTTATGCATATGAATCAGAATGTCTTCTCGGATTGGAGAAATCAAAACAAGGGGGATTTGCCGAAGAAGTTTAGCATATACTTTAGGTAAAGGACGATCTGATATCGTTCAATAATTGTCAGATATATAATTCCCTACTTCTAATTTACCCACGCGAGTTAGAAATAGAAGAAACCAATGAAACAGCCTGATCGGTTTCATATTAAGATCTAATGCATAAAGATTCAGAGTAACAAGATTCACAACCTGTTTACAAGACTGTGGGACATGAGGGATTACTTTAAATTTCCAATGGCCTTTTTTCCCTTTATGGCTTACGATTCCAGCAGCTCCGAAGCTTTGGTGTCTGCAACTTTGGAGGCACAATATAGCATAATCATTTTATGAACAATGAAACAATGGACAATGGATTTCTCACGATGATGGAAAGGGTTTTGTCGATTTTATTGCTAAAATCTGCTATCAGTTGCAATCAGCCAAAAGTATGTAATATTTCACATTGACGTGTGTTGAAATATCAGAACGAGCCAACATTCTCTTTGAATGTATACCAAGCAAATCAAGAGTTGTGGCAAGTGTTGGTAAATGTATGTATGGAGCCTTTTATACATAATTTATTCTGTCCTTGACTTCACAGTGACAGGACTAGCAACACCATCTCCCCTTGTTTAGTGACATGGTAGTTATTTATGACACAATGACAGTTGAAAGTATATATGTAGATAGACATTAACACATACATTTACATGTACGTCACAAGTTGTATGACCGCCTCCGTGGTCCTTATGGCAGATCGTCCGCCGGGAGGTCCGGGGTTCGATCCCCTGCCGCCAAAAGACGTTAAAAGATGGTACTTGTTGTTACCCGGTCTGGCGCTCGATATTAAGGGGCTAAAACAAGGACTGGTCGGCTTGGGGTCCGTATACTGTGTCTGAGTGGGGTACTTATGTTAAACTGCGGCATGGTATCTCAGTGAGCTAGCACTATAAATCGGCATCAGTCAGGACTAGTTCAAGCAGCCACACAAACACACAGACGTACATGCACGTCGCTACATAAGTGCAGTAATCTTGGACGCGACGTTACACCCCATTTCACCTCACATCATAAGTTATATCCATCATTTACTGTGGCCTGTGATGACTTCGTCGAAATATCACATTTATGAATGGAAGATTTACATTAACTCAATAAAGAAGAAATTACATTGGTTTATTTGTCTTCAAGACGTTTTTTGGAACTGAGCAGCTGTGTTTCTTTTGTATCTGTTTCCTTTTTCAGATTCGCAAATTCGTAGTGGTAGAAGTAGTCGTCTCGTATTCGCTTATCCGTACATAGTAGTAGCTTTACCAGCAGAAGTAGTGGTAGCGTCATCGTCGTATTCGGAGCAGCAGCAGTAGCAGCAGTAGTAGTTGTAGTGGTAGTAGTAGCAGCAGTAGTGGAGGGAGAGAGGGAGAGAGAGAGAGAGAGGAGAGAGAGAGAGAGAGAGAGAGAGAGAGAGAGAGAGAGAGAGAGAGAGAGAGAGAGAGAGAGACCACCAGTTACAAATTGTTGAAGTTTACACAGATAGTAGCAGATCCAAACAACATAAATAGTAGCAGTAGGAGATAAGCTTGAAAAATGCCTCATAGTATTAGTTGAAGTAATACTAAATGTCCGTTCACGGAACACCTAAATATAACCCCCCCAAACCGCGGACATAATAATGAAATCACTTAACTTGGAAGGAATCACTACATGAAATAAAAAAGTGATCATGATTTTTTATTTACTGTTAAATGAACTGAATAACTGTAAACATAGTGACCTATATATTAACGATAATATGAATTATAACAAAATTGAAATGCATATTCAAAAGGATGTAATCATGAATTTGTATTAAGCACCACATTTGACATTTGACCACCTAATGTGATGGATGACTGACGTCTACAACTCTCGACACATGTCTGTCAGAAAAGACGTCACCAACCAGGTAACGCTGTCTATTGGCTGTGGGTAGTAGCAAGGGATATAGTACGCTACAAGGAAATGCGACAGTCTACGCGTCAAACGTTGTTTCAAATGTCTACTCAGTCCTATATAAGACCCCATGTTTCGTTACTATCTCACATCAGATCTACATCCCCGGTGTCAGACTCATAGCTGGATATTCTGGTAAGATTCATTCCTTTTCACATGTTGTGAGTGAAACTTCGCATTTACAAGAATGAACAATGTTGAACACTTTTGTAATCAACAATCGCTCCTTCACTGCTAATTTCAAAATTCAAACAAGTAATTTATCAATTTCTTATTAAATTGATTCACTTACTATATTTACACATACATGTATACTGTTTCTTTTGGCGCATAGGATATATCAATTTATACGGAGTCACAAATCTGTCTCATTTGTTATTAACAAATTGCCTGTTTATCAAACCTATATGTATATCATGGATTGAAACCAATTGATTGGATGTTTTTAAAAATGAATATGATGTTCTTGCAGAATCTCAACCATGGAATCTGTCTTGTCTCTTGCTCTGCTGTGCGCATGCGCCCTGGTATGTTCCGGTGCTGTTTATAACCGATATCCATCTTCCGGGCAGTACCCGGATGTACACTACAGAGATCAATACTACCCTAACAACTACCCTGGCAACCATTACCCAAACAGATATCCTACTGGTAAGTGAAAACATATTTAACCTCAGTTTACCTACCACCTAAATACTTGATACACAGAAGCTGGTATTAAAAGGCTGCATACAATATTCTCGAGAACATTTTTCTCCAAAGTGAGAATGTAGTTTGGACTTTTGAAATGCTTTTATTAAAAACAAAAGTGACCTTAGAGTAGCATTTTATATTTTTCACACCAAGAATACAAATAAACACAACTGGGCTCCCACTGGACTCGGATTGTCCTTTGTACAGATGTTTGATATAATAAATCAAGACGTTTTGACTGCGGATTTGTCTGTCCTCATTTCTGGGGAATCGTCATCACTGATTTTCAGTGATTCATAATGATTTATATAATTTTCCCCACCAAATGCATTTTACACCCAATGGAATCTGTTTCGGCAGAAAGTCGACATTGGTTATTCCCTGACGTGGATGTTTCATATCATAACGTTGTAGGTATCTTATTGTATACATGCCAGCCTTTTGTTCCTTCCAGATGTGTGGGGAGGACACTCTCAGGGACATATTAGAAGTAAGTCCTTAGTATCACATATCATCCTGTATCTGATACAAGTAAATTGATATCATTCTTTCATACTTCTGTGCGTAAATAGTTACGTACAGATTATGTAAATTTATTATTTCAATATATCCTTCTATTTTGTTCCTACAACAATACCCGACTAACATGCTAATTGCATTCATTTGACAAGGATACCGTCGATCTGTGCCGTCACATGTCAATGGGTACCCGAGTTACAGACAAACCTACCCGTCCAATGACTACCCTACCTATCCATCACACCTACCTTCCTACCCTGAGCACGTGAACACCTACCCCGGACATCAAGACCATTATCAACAAGGTACCAAATATATTAAATGTATTATAACTCAAGTTGTTAGGGTAGTATTGCTGCCAGAATAGATTTACACCTCTACCACCATAATCAGAAATTATAGCACCATACATACGTGTCTCGACACAATACCTCTTTAAGGCATGTCCCTTTCTATCAAATCATATGTATGTGATAGGAGTGCGAAATAAGCAATGCTAGAAGCTATCGTAAATATATCCAATTCTTTCTCTCTCAATTACACAATAATGCATCTTAATATTTGCAGGTCAGCGATGGAACCAGTGGGGATCCCAGTCCGGCACTCAGAAATATGGCTCTTACCGGGTAGGTTACTTATTCTCAATGGGATAATGGGTAAATCAGTTTACTACCGAGAACATACCAATAGATAATGGGTAAATCAGTTTACTACCGAGAACATACCAATAGATAATGGGTAAATCAGTTTACTACGAAGAACATACCAATAGAATTTGATGGAATCAAATGGACATAACATAGCATAGCTCCACTTTAAAAAAAGCCTTTCCATGGAGGAGAAGCTGTAGATCTACATAGATATAAAATTGTCCAAGGAGTTGAAGCTATAGCTACATAAATGAACACGTTCCATAAGGAAATTTGGTTAACGGTACAAAACGATGACACACAAGAACAACAACATCATTGAGTGTAATATAAGTGATCAACTGACAAGTTGAACCATTCTTTCATTTGATATGAAACAGTTTGGCTGTTATGAAACCTTACGTTCTCTTTTCGCAGGGATGAAGAGATAACCGATGCTGCATCCATGACCTGAATGACATCCAGACTTGAAATCCTGACTACTTGATCTGCAATGTACAAGTCTTTCAAATAAATAAACTTTACATTATTAAGAATCTTTTGTTATGCTGATTTTAGTAAATCCCAATAATTTTTGTAACGTTATAGCAACAGAAAGTTGTGACAACATAAATGTGAGTCCATGGAATAACATTGCGTGGACGCAATATCTTAATACTGTGACAACGTAAACATAACGTTGCCATACCGTAGTTGCAACTTGACACTGTTAACCATTAACAATCAACGGATTAAATCACCTCACTGCCTCTTTGGGACCAACCATTTGGTGTTCTAGGGAGGGGATGGGATTTTGCATGGAATTGAAGGTTGAAGTTTTCAGCTACAGACGCAAAAATCTGATTAAAGCTATTAGCCTAAAAATTCTTAAAAAATCCCATCTCGCAACAATGTATTTTTTGTGGCTGACAATTTCTCCCTTTTTTCAACAGTTTGAAGCAAAGTGATTTTCTTACCAACATTTTCTGGGACAATTTTCTTTCCCAGCCACCCACCCACCCAGGTACCGAATGAACTTTCCTTGGTTTAAACACTATCAATATTGAATCTATATTCTACAAAATATGTCAAGAAGAAAGAAAGAAAGAGAAGTCATCTCCATCGCAACTGACGCCCCTTTTCATATCAAACTCAGATGTCAATCCTACATCTTCCCTAAGTCAACTTATGAGGTTCATCCTTCGTTTTCCATCTTCCACAAGTCAACTGTAGAAGTCAGTCACACATGTAACGCCTTCCAAAATCCATCTGTAAATATTATGTCAACATCTTACGCTTTGAACGTGTCAATTGTTGAAGTTATATCAATTAGGGAAGTCATTTCCATAATTTACATATTACACAAGTCAAAGGGGCACGGGTGGCCGAGTCGTCTAAGGCGCCGCGATTTGCTGTGCAGAGTTGCGCCCCTTGGGCATGCCAGAAAACTATGATTGTGGGTTCGAATCCCGGTTCGTCCCGATTATGTTTCTAGTTATGTCAGCACCATACCCGTGCTCGTGGGTTTCACCGAAGTGGTGAACGTCTGAGGCCTGCATCACTTCGAGGCTTTCCTCCCACATTAAGCTGACACGCCGTGTTATAACTGTAATATTGTTAAAATGGCGTTAAACCCTACTCACTCACTCATTCACTCACTCAATACGTCAACTGCAGAGGTCACACTTTCTTCTTGCTCAATTTCATGTACCGTCGGCAGAGATGGTCCCGACATAGTACGTCGAATGAAGGAGAGACCTTCTTTTGAAAAGAAACCATAGATACGAGGGTTTTGCCTTTGGAGTTAATAGTAACTCTACTCAGGAATAGATCTGTCCAGGGCTTCGAAGCTCTTTCTCCACTCAGGAATAAAGCTGTCCAGTGAGTTCAAGCTACAGGTGCACTTAGAAATAAGGCTGACTATTAAAAGGTGAGGTGAGGTGAAATTGGGTTTAACATCGCGTCCAAGATTATTGCACTTATATAGCGACGTGCATGCAAAAGTGTGTGTGTGTGGCTGCTTGTACTAGTCCGGACTGATGCCGATTTATAGTGCTAGTCCACTGAGATACCATGCCGCAGTTTAATTAACATGAATACCCCACTCAGATACAGTATACTGACTCCGAGGCGACCAGTCCTTGTTTCAACCCCTTAATGCCGAGCGCCAGACAGGGTAACAACAAGTACCATCTTTTAACGTCTTTTAGTATGACGCGGCCGGGGATCGAACCCCGAACCTTTCGCTCTCGGGGCGGACACTCTACCACTAGACCACGGAGGCGGTCTCTGTCTATTAATAACAACTCTACTTTTGCATAAGGCTGTCAAGGATGGTAAAGCTATAGCTCTATTTAGGAATAAATTTGTCCAGGGAGCTAAAGCTGTAGCTCCACTCATTAATAAAGCTGCCCAAGGAATTCAAGATACAGCCGACTAAGAAATAAGGCTGTCTTGGTCGTTGAAGCTATAAATAAAAACTCTTCTTTTGCATAAGGCTGTGCAGGGAGTTGAAGCTGCAGCTGGACGCGGAAATAAGGCTGTCCAGGGCGTTGAAGCTATTAATAATAATTCCACTAAGGAATAAGGCTATCAAGGGAGTGGAAGTTTTCGTTCAACTTAAGATTAAGTATTTACCAAGGTCTCAAAATAAGAGATTGTGAAACAGTACAATTTTTATCCTTGCATATATGTTTGAAAAACATTTACTTCTTCTGATTGATCCTTTATTCACAAAATATCCTTCAAACATGAACGGTAAGATTCCGTATTTTGTTTTGTCCAGGTGTGTCTTTTCTATGCATTAAAATAACTGACAAAACGTGTTGAAACAGTTACACTTGTAATGATGTTGACACACATCATTTTATCATCACAGTGGTATTGACGGAGATCATTATATGTTTGTTGAACTGATTTGATCAAATTTAGCGCCAAAGGATTTCTTCAAGATTTTTTTAAATATCGGTATGGTACACACACAAGGGTAATATTACTTTATTGTCTATAAAGAAATAAAACCGACAAAAGAAATCTTTGTTGACTGTACGGTTCCAACCTATGGTAAGCAGGTGTTTATGAATCAATGTCAAATATAGTGCTAATATAAAACGAGAAAACAGATGACGCCAAAACTATGATGACCCCATTACACATGATGCCACTGTCTGCGAACCGTAAACAATTATGTTTGTATTTCGTCATCATTGGAGTACACGTCAAAAAATATTGCTGATGTTTTTATAAAGTCGCTTATGTTTGTCATATGAACAATATTTAGTGATAACAAACTCATTCCTAAATACGATTTGAATTGATAACACCACGAGTGAGTTGTTCGCAAAACACATTGGTTGGGCAAAAGAATAATCAATTGTGACCATATGTTCCCCTGTATCTTCTGGTGAACAATTTATTAGTCTTTGCATGTGTTTGTGCCAGATGTCACCGGTGAGGCAGGATACGCTTACCCTTTCACCTGGTTTAATCACTATTTAATGGTGATTCATAAACACTTGCCCATGAAACACGACGAATGTTAACAGTCGGAATCATACAGATGGATTTTTTATGATTGTAGAAAGGATTTATCGCTTTTATTTCTATCGAGCAAGGTGAGTCACACACCAACTAATACAGTCCTCAGGTCAATTTGCTAGGTACGCAAGCGTTAATTCAACTCTTTTAGTCATATGATGAGGAGAAAAAGTAATTAAAACGAAGGACTACTAATGCGGAGATCGGAGATGTAACACTTCAAACAACATTTGACATGTAATCATAAATACCATTACGATATGTAATCATAAATTTCCAAGGATTGTTCCAGTATGGCTCATTGTGGGACATTGTTGATAATATGTCGCAATCTGGCAAGTAAATGTGCATGTTCAAATAAAACATAAAGCATACTGTAAGACTGTCGGCCATTGGAAACATATCGGGATGGCCATAGATCGAGACAAGCGATGCTCTTCGAGTCTATGCAAATAACGAGTTTCGGCTTATCGATAGGTTCTTTTACAGTTGTGTGTGAAAACTAACGCGGTCAGTTGACTGGGCACGGCCCTCGGTATTACATTTGTATGTCTCATTGCAAATATTTACATTATGTATCTGGACATGCCTACGATTGTATGAGTCCATCGTCAGAGGAAGACTGTGTGTCTATACATGTGACTAAGTACACACTCATGCGTATGTTTAATACGTATGTATAATACGTATGCATGATACGTATGTATGCGTGTCTATAGGCCAGTAGCCCATACACTACAGGTCATGACAATGCCTCGTCCACATGTGACAGGTCATCGTGACCTCTTCCTCCACGAGGGCGTCACGGGGAAATGGACAGTGACAGGACAATTAATGCCACGCAATTCTACCTGTGCTACAAAACGTATAATTCATACAGGTAACCCTCCGCACAGAACACCTGACGAACCTGTTCTTAAAAAAACTGTGTTGAATGGGCAATAGACCTGAAGTTCAAATAACAGAAATCATTAGCCATACACAGTTCGCCTTTGAATCTGTTCATTATTTAGGATGAATCTGCATAACATGTGTTTTAAATAACCCACATCACAGAACTCGTCGTCTTAGGGGTGCAAATTCAATGCAGATTTATTTAAAATTATATACATAAAAGCGACACGACGAATGTTACAAAAAACAGATTTACCCTACTACATGTTGAACAATGTTACAGTATACAATTTACAGGCTTGGTTTATTGGACAAAACAAAATGAAACATCATCCGTTTAAAGGTTTTTTGTGTGTGACAGATACGAATATGTATACCCCGAGGCTTTGACATTTATTGCCGAATCTGGCTGGAGTAATTGCTGTGTCATACAGATTAGTTTCAGTGATGTGTCTGGGTGACGAGCTCTGCATTGGTTTTGTAGTGTTTAATAATCCTATTAATTGTGCTTCCTTCTTTGTTGATCTGTTTCTTTATGCATAGGAGTCAGAATGTCTTTTCGGATTGGAGAAATCAAAACATGGGAATTTGCCAAAGAATACGCTTCATGTATATGGACGACCTGATATCGTTTAATAATTGCCAAACATCTAATTCCCTACCACTGATTTAACCACGCTAGGTAGAAATTGAAGAAACCAATGAAACAGCCTGATCGGTTTCATATTAAGATCTAATGCATAAAGATTCAGAGTAACAAGATTCACAACCTGTTCACAAGACTGTGGGACATGAGGTATGACTTCAAATTTCTAATGGCCTTTTTTCCCTTTATGGCTTACAATTCCAGCAACTCCGAAGCTTTGGTGTCTGCAACTTTGGAGGCACAATATAGCATAATCATTTTATGAACAATGAAACAATGGACAATGGATTTCTCACGAAGAAGGAAAGGGTTTTGTCGATTTTATTGCTAAAATCTGCTATCAGTTGTAATCAGCCAAAAGTATGTAATATTTCACATTGACGTATGTTGAAATATCAGAACGAGCCAACATTCTCTTTAAATGTATACCAAGCAAATCAAGAGTTGTGGCAAGTGTTGGTAAATGTATGTAT